GCTCGCCGTCGCTGCGGGGGATGCTTCGTGCTGCAGCAGCAACAACAACCCCACCACCAGTAACACACTATGCATCAACTCTAACAAACACAACAACAACTGCTGCTGCTGCTGCTGCTGCTGCTGCTGCTGCTGCTGCTGCTGATGGTGCTGTTGCTGCAGAAGCAACTGGAGTAGCAGCAGATACAGCAGCTGCTGCAGCAGCAACAGTAGGAGGGGGAACAGTAGTAGGAGCAGCAGTAGACCCTAAACCCTAAACCCTAAACCCTAAACCCTAAACCCTAAACCCTAAACCCTACCCGCGGAAGAGCGTTCAGAGAGGATGTGCTGCTGCAGCGTTTTCTCGAGTTCACTTTCACACATAACCGCAAACTTTCCCTCAGATGCCAAGTGCTGCAGAAAGGAGACACCAGCAGCAGCAGCAGCAGCAGCAGCAGCAGCAGCAGCAGCAGCGGCAGAGGAGGAGGAGGAGATGGGTCAGGGATCGTCGTGGTGGTAGAGATTATAATGTGGGGAGACAAAACGGAGACAGAAAAGGAGACAGAAAAAGAGACAGAAAAAGAGACAGAAATAAAAAGAAACAAAGAGAAAGAGAGACAATGAAAGAGACAGAGACAGAGAAAGAGACAGAGACAGAGACAGAGAAGGAGAAAGAGACAGAGACAGAGACGACGGATGGAGCCCAAAGAAGGAGACAACCAAAAAGGAGACAAAAAGAAAAGAGGAGACATAATTAAAAATAAAACAAAGAAAAAAGGAAAACGACACCACAAACAAAAAAAACAAAAACAAAAAAAAAACAGAAACAAACGCGAGAGAGACAGTAAAAAAGGAGACAGAAAAAGGGAGGAGATAAAGGAGACGAAGGACACGGTAACCAGCCACAACAAAAGGAGACAGAAAAGGAGACAGAAAAGGAGACAGAAAAGGAGACAGGAGACAGAAAAGGAGACTAAAGAGGAGACAGATGAGGAGACAGAAGAGGAGACAAAAAAGGAGACAGCAGGAGACAGAAGACAAAAGGAGACAAAAGAGGAGACAGAAGAGGAGACAAAAAAGGAGACAAAAAAGGAGACAGCAGGAGACAGGCTGAGGAGACAGGCGGAGACAGAAGAGGAGACAAAAAAGGAGACAAAAGGAGACAGAAAAGGAGACAGAAAAGGAGACGGAAAAGGAGACAGCAGGAGACAGGAGACAGCAGGAGACAGGCAGAGACAGAAGAGGAGACAAAAGGAGACAGAAGGAGACAGAAAAGGAGACAAAAAAGGAGACAAAAAAGGAGACAACTGACGGTGCTTTTATCTTTGATGTCTTTTATAAAGTGCATATAAAGTTTT